ATTACAAATTTGCTTCTACTACGAAAACGTCTACAAAAAGAGCTTGATCCTGATCGACTGGATCTATCTAATATTGCTGGGTAGACAAAAAAAAAACAACCCGGTAGCTAGATCGAAGCCCGATAATACCGATAGCTTGCATATGTCGATCTTTAACATGAACGGTGTCCGTAAAATACAATTAATTTGATAGTAGCAAGAGCAGCTTCCAGTGTGCACACAAAATTAGACATCCGAATTGATTGTTTGGTTCACAATTAACCGATAAACAATTATTCAGACCCTATCGATGACCGAACGGACGGCCATATTCGGTATTTTGTTCTCAGATGACTCTACTCTGCTAAGTGACGCCAAAGTTACTATGATTGTTCGCTCTAAAAGCGTTGCATAGACACCACACGGGCAGAGGTTTTCGTATACATGATACTGAATCTGATCAGAATATCTGACCAACTTGATTCCAACTAAAACAGGTGTGCCATAAAAACTATAGACACATTTGTACATGCAGTACTAGAAATCTACACGTATTGGTAGATCGCTCTGCAATTGCGTGAGATAGTCCAGTAATTGCGAACAATGCAGAATGAAGGTGACATGGTATGTTGAAGAAGCAAACAAAGACAAAAATACAGACTAAATTAACTCCGATAAAAAAAAAAAAAACTATTAATAGATTGAGGAGTTTTAAACATCGATGTTTCTAGTCATCGCTCTGAGCAGGTAACTGTTCGTTTAGGGAGCATTAGAATACCAGAGCAGCCTACCACAAAGGGTACCTAATGAAAACAGTAAAATGATAACTTTTCTGTCAGAAAAAATTATCGCTAAATTAAAAAAATTGCGACGCCGTTCTTTAAGCGTTCAGCACTATTTATCATTTTGGCTCGTATATTGATGTAAGTAACTTTAAGCTAGACATTTTATCTTCAACTACATTACACAGAATGATCGCTAGAGGAAAGCTAAAAACCATCACATATACGGTAGATATTAGAAGAAAAGAAATCTGGACACAGACCTTAATATGTCGAAAAAACATCTAAACACAATAAGGCTCGCCCAGCGGCTCCTGTAAGGTTTTTAGTGTGGCCAACTGCCAGCGCCTTCTGCACAGACTGCAATATACTGCTGTAAAAATTAATTAATACAAACGATCGTTTATTGAAATCAACCAGAGAGTCAGTCAGTTCTGTGCCTGGATGTATCGTCACCAACCCCATCGAAAATCGTTCAGCAGACAGGCGTCTATAGAAGTTGCTCTAATCTGTAGTAAAGCTACCCCCAACTCGATATCTTTACAGTCTTTTAAAATATGCACATGAAAAAAAAACATGCAACGGCAACCTTCTATTGGGAAAGCCTTCGGTCTTAACACCTCCGACTGTGGATGGCTGAAAAGCAACCAGTAGCCACATATAACCCCCAGCGGCAATGGACCACTTCACGTATTGGGTTCGTCCTACTACAGAAGAAACACCTCCACACATAACATTGCCAAGCGATTAGCTCTCTGACAGAAATTTCAATTGTTATGGGAGTGGGAATGGTGTTTAGCATCCAAAGTAACATTGTTCCGTGTGAATTCGCTTTTGTATTTATGAAAGCAGGCCTGCTTATTCGGCGCAAGGCGGGTAATAGATAGTCCATCTCTTCTATTGGTAAAAGGACCCATTACTTGTGCTTGGGTTAATGGGCCGTTCGTAGTGCAATGAAGATGGAGTCATTCAGCACATGAATAGACAAAACAGGTGCTTTTATTAGCCGTGTTATGGCAATCAATATTTAAGCCTTATATAATATGGCTGGCTATGAGCTAGCTAATACTTAGGTCGGTTCGAATCAACGCGAAAATTAGAGGATATTATTAGAAACATTGTCGCTATGCAGGTTGGTTGCACGGAATCCCCTTCTAATTAAGCCGGTTTATTTTTTCATCGAAATCGTTTTGCTCCGTATATCTTATAGTTCATGGTTCAGCTAAGGATGAATACGCCTGAAGAAGACACCTAAGTTGATCCAGTCTTCGGTCGAAGATGCTACCAGATAAAGGGAACGACAGTTTTGGAAATAATTATCCTCTAAGTTTACAAAGCGTATTGCCTACGCCGCGACTGGGGCTTATGATCTATTGACATAAAGCTAGAGTAGAGAGACACCCATTGTAATAACCAGAGTTAAACCAATTCTAGGGGACTAGCTCTCGAGGGGCTTGGCCGTGCATGAATCGATCTGCTTTGCCTACGATAATAATCGTTGAACTAATTTAAGACACAATAGCTATTTCGCACCATCGTAAATTCATTATCAAGACGTCAAGCCGGAGTTATGTAAACTCCAATATATATAAAGTCAAATTAGTACTAACTAACTGGAAAAAACGAAGGCGGTATGAAGTTTTTCGGCAGCTCAACGCCGTTCAGTGGAACACAGTCGAACATTACGTCTTCGAGACGCTTTGTCGCAGCCCTTCTTTTCGCTGACTTCTCCGTTGAATCGTCCATCGTCCGCCAAATTGGTTCGAGGCGTTAGGCAATTACTGGGAAATCGTCCTGTAGACGAGTGTCTCAATACACCGAAACGTCCTAGCTTATGGGAGGCACCCGTAGGAAGGAAAGTGGTGGGGTGCTAGGGGGGTGCGGGGCGACTATTTGCCTCTTCGACTTTTCTTTTTTCTTCTGCCGCTTCACAAAGAAAAGGCCCGACGAGAAGCCGTTGAATAGGCAAGTCGTAGAATATTTTCGCCGTATCACCCGTGTCAGCTTCAGGCTTTATTATTAACTTGATAAGTAAGAAATGTTCACTTTAGCATACTGCTTTAATTTCCTATTTTCTGTTTATCAAATAATAGACTTTGTGGTACAGTGCAAACTGGTCTTTTTGACACATTGTTACAGCACATGGCTCAAAAAAGCAGGCACAATGGTCATTTCGCGTAGCACAGTATCTATAGCGATGTAATTTCATTCCGTATAATTGCTTCCTTAATAAATTAGCAGAAATAACGTTACAGCATAAATTTCCACTTCGGAATTATTTACCGATACATTTTACGAACCGTAATTATCTAGTACGTTAATGCAGCCGATACTCTTCGGTATCACTTCGCGGTACGTATGAACAATTCGAAATAGGTTAGACTCCCAGCATGCTGGCTCGTTTTCTCTGGCAAATAATAGCCAAACGGTCTAAGATATCTATTATATGTACGGAAAAGTTGAAACTGATTTTGGAGCTAAGATAATAGGCTATAGAACAGTATATACAGCCTATTTCAATGAAACAACGATCTGATCGATATCACTTGTTTTCCGTACAGATAATTCACTCCATTCGGGCTTTAGTTTCGATATGTCTCTCTTCACACGTGCCTATATACTCCCCGCTCTCCATTCTACTACAATATATTACTGCTTCTAAACATTCCCATTCGTCAATTGCTCTTACATTCGGCCTCATTCAGGCAGAGTGCCGCCGCCGCTCCGTCTACGCCTCCACCCACCCCAACGCCACTCTGTCTATACGGCACTTTCCGGTTACTCACGCGCAACAACGCCACTCGCCGCTTTACAGTCGATAATGTACTTCTTTTTCTTGTATTTTTGTCCTGTTTCTCCTATTCAGGCTGGCGTCAGTGTCAGTAGCAGACGCTGCACCCGGGGCCAGCGATTCACCGTGCGTCTACCAAGTGAACAGTTAGCCACCCACCGTTTGTTGTTGGCCCTTCATATTTTCTACGATATCTTTCTTTTCGTCCTATTGCTTGTCTACTCTTACTGCCTGTGGTGTCGACGGCGTCTACCGTCCGTTCGTGGGATAGCGTGTTCGTAGGCCAATTCGTCCGCCCCGCCGCGTCGTGTCGTGATCTTTCCTTATTTCTTCTACCGCCTTTATGCTCGCTTCCATTGCTGCTTACCCATCTATCGGCTATTATTATTATAACACCAAATAAATTACATAGTCGGCTCTTACGGGCGCCGCCGCTGCCTCTGTGAGCCGTCACTTGAGTGTTTGTCGGCTTCGTTTCGGTGTCTTCTATAATACGAAGCGACGCTGAGGAGCTTGGCTGACTAGCTGGCTGTTCAGCGGCTCCGCGCGCCCCATAGCTCTCAACCCGCACAATGGTGTTAAATATTGAAAGGCTCCCTACTGCCTTCGTTTTGGTGGCGTCCTGCTTCCGTCAGTTTCTCGATGCATTCTTTAACGATGCCAACGCCGCGCGATGTCAGGAACCACTACAAAGTCGCAGGACCAGCAGCGTGCAGGGCTTCTGCTACAGAGCCTGGTTGTCGATTCGTGTTGTCCGTCTCAGCGGCTCCTTATATTCACTTCTACTAGAAAAGAAAGATTCCTTAGCGGACATAGCTGCTGGGACGACGTCCGAATGAAATCGGCGGCAACGTCTGGGCGAATCTTCGATTTCTTTTTTCATCTTGTTCCGCGCTGTAACAGCCTGTAGTAGCTAACTTGTTGTCTAACGCCGCTAGCGCCTATAGCGTGCCGCCAAAAACGAGCTTTGTTCGATATCCGCCGGGGCCGCTGCCTGTTCTGTAGACTCGAGGTTCGGCAATCGCTCCGCCCTGATACCAGCGCCCCTGGCGGCGGAATCCAGAACGTGGAGCCGGCGCTCCTCCCGAGCTGGGAGAGGGTCGATCATTCAGCAGCGGCCATCTAGAGATAATAGCATCACCGCTTTGGAGTAGTACGGCCGAAGTCGGGCAGGCAGAACTCATGAAAAGTTTTCGGAGTAGTCGTGCGTAAGGCCCCTACTCCGTTTCTCGCTCGCAACAAGCAGCGCCGCAACCCGACGCTGAAGCTTATTGCCATTGCCTGCCTTGAGTCTGTCTCTCTTTTTAGCCTTGTGTGTAGCGCTCTCTGTGGTAGCAACGGCGCCAGCCTTTGCGTATATATGTCCTATGCATGTGTGTGTGTGTGTCTGTCTGTCTGTGTATGTCTGTGTATCTGTGTGTGTCTGTGTGTGTGTGTGTGTTCGTAAGAGAGGGCCGCACATGGATGGCGCCAGCGGCGGAGGCTCTTGTGTCTTCTCAATTGTCTGCCTGAACGTCGGTGCAGTGTGGTCCGAGCCTTCGGCGCGTTCGGCCGTGCCCATGCCCATGCTTTCGTCCGTCGTCGGCAGTTTCGCCTTGTCAAAACCACTGGAGCTCTCCCACAGGATTATTTGCTTCCCTACCCTCTTCTGCCCGGCAAGAGCGAGAGTTGTATGAGACGCAGTTACCGGTATCGGACTGCCCACCTACCCAAGTCGATTCCGGCCCATGCCAGCTGTACGCCTGAGCGAAGACAGGCACGTACGTGCACGGAACGTCGGGATAGTAGTACTAGTAGACTGTGCACTGCGTTGTCGGTTGGATAATTAGCGGATATCTAGCGATCTGTTGCGTGCGCCTGAAGCGGTGACAAACGCGTGGACGTAAACGCCAATGATTTCTGTCGGAATAACGCTTTGTTCAGAAGTAAAAGTGCCCCAAAAGTGCAGTTCGCCGTGTTACCATCCGACAACTCTGAGCGCGGGTCACTTTTGCGGCACCGATTGCAACAGTAGTGAGCGGTGGGTCTGTGCATACGCTGTCGATATCTACAAGCGCGAACAGGCACCTGTGGTATTCGGAAGGTAGAAAATGTGCCTATCGTAGGTCGTACCGTGTATACTGTGCGCGATAGCAGAGTCCCTATTTACACGATATGAGCCTATACAGTATCGCGTTATGATTAACGTAACAGCAATGACCATGAGGATTTTCGCGAGAAGCAATAATATCACAGTCTAAAAGGATAGTAGGACGAAATGTTCGCGTAGACTCACTCGCTTATAGACCAACTACCTTCAGTTGTATTACCGATGTGGCGTCTGTGATAACTGGCAGCTTTAGGCAACAAAGCACCACACGCTTCCTTTTCAATACATTGATGGAAAGATAGATATTTTCAAGAAGTTATCATTGGATTGGAACATCCGCTAACTGCGCACTAATATTTCACAACGCTTTGAGCTCGCTCGGTCTATAGGACTCACGGAGCCCTGATTCGCGCGCCCTCGGATTGCAGTCGTTGCAACCGATCATCCGCCTATTAGTCTGGCTAACCTACCGTTACTCTTTCTCTTGGAGATATCGAAATCGCAGCCCCGCATCGATAGAAACGTGAATAGACGAACTAACGGATACTACCCAACAAATCAATCTACAGTTGCAGAACGTAATACTTGTTCAGTGAAAATATACGCATTTAGTGATTTTCTATCGGCATTTTAGCCTGCGCGTTAGCTCAGGGAGAACGATCTATTTTACGCCGCACTAATTGTAGTGGTAGCAGCGTAAATCGAATTTGTACCCTCTGGATCAAACTTTATCTGTACAGCTTCCGTAGTCGAATTTATCTCATGGATTTTCGCCTAGATGGCCAGCTTGTTCGGGTTTTAGTTGCGTAACCTGTTAGACTACAGCGGTCCGCCTGCGACGACCTAGGTGTCAAGGACCTGCAGCGAGCCAGCTCCGTTATTTGGCTAGCTGAGTTTTACACCGTTTTCTATTTGCGTATCGCGACCGTGACGCGCGTGATCCGCTCAGTGTTTCCTAGTTGTCACTGCTGCCGAAATCGTTACCTAAACAAAGTGTGTTATACTGTGTCGGACACAGAGCAATTGGTTCAAATCAAAGAAAAACTAATGAAACGAACACAGAAAAGAACCTGTTAACGAGACTTGCCAATCGCCGAGTATCAAGTGAACTATTTTTCGCAAAGGAAATATATAAATCATTGCCGCCAGTTAGACAAAATGGAGTTCAGACTAGCTCGCCTTAATTATTGTTCGCTACCATGGATGAGTGTTGTGATCTTGCAAGCACTTGCGCTGGTTACGCGCGCTGCAAAACTGCCAGACATCTATTGGAACATGAGTAATCCAATGTAAGTATCGTAGGCACAACGACGGTAATCATAAAGGGGTGCAACTGAGGTCCAAAAGCCATAGAGGTAATGAGCCTATATATATATATAAAGGAAAGGGGAGAGGGGTACTGTTGCCAATAGATAGGGACCGTTTCGGTTAGTTCTCTGGAGCCAAAATGTTTCTGCACATGTATGACACATATATATATATATAAAACTTTTATAGCGGGTATCCTTTTACTGGAGCAATTCAAATTGCATCCGTGTGTCGAAAGCTACAGGTGTTTCTTCGTGATGTTTATGGATAGACGGACGGGGAGAATGGGGCTGCCTCATCATTTTGGTTTTTTTCCTGCAAAAAAAAATCGACAACCAAGGAAACAGTACGTTTTTAATTGATAGTCAGGATTTGGCTAAGTTATATACATTTCTTGCCTTTGGAACCGACCGAATGCGGATCCTGAAAGATAGCGCACCATGCGCAAATGTTTGGCGTATCGTCAATCAGTCGCCGTTTTTTTTTTCCATATTCCTGATTATCGACGTAATTATCGATTCGGAAGGCATGCGCCCGTCGAGTCCGCCGCTGTTTTCCAATGTTCAAGCAACCGGCATCGAGATTCGTTACCATTACGTATTTGTTAAGTTCTTTCCTTGTCTCATGTCTTTGATGAACGTATGATATTATATCTATAATATATTACATAAAGCCTTGCTTACGTAACAAAAGATAGCTGAAAGATTCTTTTTCCCAATGCTTCCATCTTTTCGCTTCCCTGCGCCAAACTAACCAGAGTTGCTTGCAATATCTCTTGTGGACGATTGATCGTTGGCGTCAGTAACGTCTACGACGATTCGTTTTTGGAGCCAAAGGCTGCCCCGTTCTATCTGGGAGCGTTAAACAGAACCTACCCACTGTAAAGCTCAATCCGCTACCGAACGTATCTTTGTTTGCTAGGTTGCATATGGGTTATCGCGCTGGTCTGTTCACGCCATTGCAGCTCGGACTGGAAATTTCCTAATAAAAATTCATTCATTCCTATCAAGTTAACATAAATATCGCTCTCTGGGCACTGTGTAGTTGTATGGGCGTACCTCAACCATACACACACTGGCACGTACACATTTTCCTCTGTTCTTTTTAGTCTATCCGCTCGACATCTCGCACATGTCAACTGGCTCTCCGTTAGCTGTTGGGTCCGATCGGTGGACTTCGATCACCTACTTCACCAACCATTACGACCCGAATTGCAGCCATGAACTGAGCACAGCGCTGGCAGTAGATGACGGCTTTAGGGGTGACCATGGTGATGATGTTGGCATTTACAGGGTACCTGCCTACGCGGTCGTAGCATCAGCAACATCAATCGCGCTCGTTCCTGCTCGCAGTGGTTCGTTCCACGGACGACGCAGTAGCCACGACAGGCGATCGAGGTAGAGCTGTGTTCAAAAATGCTTGAAAATTGCCTAATTTCTTTTTCGCTCGGTCCGTGTTCGCCTCGACGCGTCATCGTCGCAACTTCAGGCGCACCTGGGCGCTGTAGTCGTCGCTGGCTGCTGCTTGTCACCCCGGTTCGACGCTTCACCCCACCGTGAAGTCGCTATCCCGCCAGCCATCAGAACCTCTTACTCTTATACGGGTTAGCGATGATGACGACGACGACGACGACGATGAGGAGCGGTAGCAACAGCCAGTGACTCAATCGTTATGTATTCGCTTTTGGTCGGTCGCTGCCTGTCGAGGCCTATCTGTTAGTCGGTGCTCACGCCTCGGTTCGACGGAGTTGCTTCCCTAACGCCTTTTTACTGTTAGAAGAGGCTGTTTGAGAGGCCTTTCCTTGTTTAGTGGAGTTAGACCCACGGCGCTGAACTTGCTTCTCGCCGTTTGACTGCGCCAGTTGTTATTATTATCATTACATATTAGAGGAGAACATATAGACAAACCTGGGAAAAGGAAAGCCTAGTGCCATTTATCTGCCCAGGGCTGTCTACTGCTATAATAATAAGTATAGCTGTTATACGCAACTTAAGGTTACTGTTATCACTAGAACTACTTTTTTTTATAGAGCTGGTATAGGCAGTAATGCGGCCTCGACTCATTATTGGTAGCGACCAATTCAACGCCCAGCCGTACTCGCCAATGATGCGCCCATAACTACCATTCTGTTGCACGGGTCGTTCAGTTGCTGTTGAAAAACGTTTTGTTACAAGCATGGCTATTAATGAAGAGCTAGCTTGAAGATAGCCTAGTAGAACATCTACTGGCATTGTGTTAATAACGCTTCTGTTTGATTTGTATAAACACCACACGAAATCCCAGGACGATTAGAAGTAATGACGTGTGAACGAAGGAAGTTGTGTATACGCACATAACATTATTGCTAATTATTTTGGCCGGTTGCGAGCGTACCGAGAGCATGATGAGGCGAGATCTGTTCATGATTAAAAGCGCGTCCGCGTAAATCGAAGGTCGATAACAACGCCATGATCTTTGCTCGTACAATCAGCGCCACTGCGATCGAAATTTTCGAACTCTTATTCAACATTGGAAGATGCAGCCAAATCTAACGTAGATAGCCTAAGCCGAGTCTGCCTCAAGACTGCAGCCGATCTCCGTAGAAAATCCACTATTGTCTCTTCGCTTCGTCCATTCATTGTAGCACGGGGGGAAGGGGGTTTGAAGTAGTCAGACGTGGTGATGGCAAACGTCAAGAGACTGAAGGGCTTTCGGCTTCACTGGTGCTTGTCTGCCAACCACCACAATGAGTTTATGTGAGTGTGTGTGTGTGTGTGTGTGTGTGTGGGAAATTCATGAAGGCTAAGGAAGGATAGAGATGGCAAGGCTTTGGGCACCTTAAACAGCTCCAACTAAAACCAGGAGTGCTTAGACGTCGATGACGGCAGTGAGTTTGTCAACGTGCGCAGGTCGCAGGGCTAACGGCGGCGTTGCTAGCAGCAATATGTGTTAGAATTTCGGAGCCAATCATATCAAAAAGGGCTGAAGCACCACCTGCTAAATGAAGTGAAACCTGTAAAAAAAAAACTTTACAAGGGAAAAACTGCTCTCTAGTTTCTTCGATGCAAATGAGGTTTTAAGGAATTGTCATTGAAAACGAGTCTGTCTTTTGCAAAGATCCTGAAGTTTATCTTCTGAAGCCATTTTCGGTCAAATTTCTAATCAATACGTATAATAAAACGTTTATAGATTACTACATGGGAACTATCTCTGCTAACATATTTCGATATTTTTCCAAGTTAATGAACTTGCAAAAATATTACTCGATGTTCACGTTCCTCCTCGGTCCAGCAGTGCTTTATAAATTTTCTGTAACTATAGTACTTTTAGCATTACTAACTGCTAGATGTGAGTGATGCATTATATAATTATATAACTTCCTACCGCCTCCATTGACTTCACAACGCTAACATTTGTAATCTTTGCCCAAAGCCTGACTCCATGAGAAAGCGTGTACGCGAAACAGCAGCGAGGCATAATGATCACTTGGTGAAGTACTGCTGAAGGCCAGCGGGAGTAGCAGTGCTCGCTAGAAGAGGATCTATGGAGCCATTTGGAGCGTCACTCTGAAAGCGTGCGCGAGACGATTAGGGAATTGTTATTAACGCTGCTGTCGCGGCAAAGTTTGATAAACGTTTCTGGCTTGAATGACGTCTGAAAACCGTTTCTCTTACAACTGTATTCGTCGAAGCTTCAAGACGCTCTTGGGGTCTCTAGTAAAGAAATCGCTAGTGGATTTGGTTGAGTAAGCTCAGCCCGACGTTAGTGATCGCTCGCAAGCTAGCAACTATAAGTAAGTATAGTTGCTAGCTAGCTGTTCATCGGCTGTTTAACGGACTGACTACCTAACTCATGAGCATATGTTTTTACAGTTCACAAGTGTCATCCCGCCCTGTGAACCGCGCCTCCATGGTGCGTCAGTCCAGCGTCAAGTCTTTCAGAGCGGTCGGTGTTCTGCTACGCACTCGACCGATCATTGCGCTATCGTTGTCGACATCGTTGTGAATCTTCTATATCTGTCCGCTGAATGGCAAGCTCAACGAGTCGAGACTTGAGCCATCATTTTGAGTTACGGGCTGTGGTGTTATGCCTACAGGTATTGCCATTTTTTGCCTACGGGTATGCAATGGTGGTAACACCGAAATGTCTCGCCATTGCTACAAACGTCTCGCTATTGCTACAAACCGATCAATCCAGTTGTCTGATAAATCAAAGAGATTTGATCATTTTCAAGTTTGGCCTTACTCTAGGCGTTTGTTGTCCCTGTAGGAGGGACACTTAACGCGCAGAAGCGTGAGCCGGACTAGACTGATAGTTGTAGATGTGTCGACCAAACATAACAGAATAGAAACAGAGAGTACGGAAGAACCTCATTTCCATATTAGAACATATAGTCAGTCAGAGTTACATGGATTGCAACATTGTTTAGTATTGCAACACTCACGCCTATTCCAGTAGAAACGACATAGACATCGTAGGAATTATATATATATATATATATAATAATTTTTTTAACTAGAACGTGTTGGCTCGACCGTCAAGGGATTTCCGACGACCCATTGGTTCTGCACGTTCAGTATACTGATGGACTTATGCCATAGTTTAGCTGAAACAGAGGTTTGGTAGACGTCGTTCTCAGAAGATTGTCATTCTGGCTATAGTGAATGCACGCAAGACTGAGTGAATTTTCGCTGCTAATTTTAATAAATGAACGTATCATCAATAGAAACAGATAGTATGTGCTTTACTATCTGTCAGTTGGCCTACTCAAGGATCGCCTTTCACAAGGTGTTTCTTGATGAATAATTAAACTGGAGATCACAAACACAGTGTAGTGGATGTTTTGTCGTGACATTTCCTAGCTTTCAATTGGGCCTTTTATGCAGCATATCCTTAAAAGAAGGGGAAAAGCTCTATCTGTTAATAAAAACGGCCTGCAAAGATATGTATTTCGGGTCCATCCTCACAAATAAGCTACCACCCAGCTGTTTGTTGAGGTAGT